AACCCCAAAACCCTAAAACCCCTGAACCCTAAACCCTAAACCCTACACCCCAAACCCCTGAACCCTAAACCCATCATACCGTTGGCTCTACAAGGGTAGTTGTCTATATTAGGGTCCCTTTTTGGGTCCTTTGTATAAGGGTGCCCGTACTATTTTGGGGACCTAAATAGGGACCCGACTTTAGAGAACTACTCACAAGACTCTCCCCATGCACCAAGGAGGGGACACGGAAGGCACATCCCCGAGGCATGGGTCGGTTGACGGCATCTAAGGCAGTTTAGGGTTTGAGGTTTAGGGTTTAGGGTTTAGGGTTTAGGGTTTAGGGTTTAGGGTTTAGGGCTTGGGTTTAGGGTTTCGGGTCTAGGGTTTAGGGTTTATGGTTTAGGGCTTGGGTTTAGGGCTTAGGGTTTGGGGTTTAGGGTTTAGGGTTTCGGGTTTAGGGTTTAGGGTTTAGGGTTTAGGGTTAGTTTAGTTGCCTTTGTTTTTGTTGGGTCTAGGGATGTGCTGCTTAGGGTTTTGTGTGGCGTTTCGCTTCTTGGGCTGTTGGGATTTGGCTTTAGCTTGGCACTGGGGATATTAGGATCGCCGGGTGCAGGGCTTACGGCTGTTTGTTTTGACAGTTCAGGGGTTCGCCGGACTTATGCTGAGATACAGTATGACCTCAGTGCCCGCAGAGGTTGAATGCAGGGGGCTTGAAAAATTACAACACAAATTTTGGATGTATTTCCAACACATGGACTGTAAGCGAAATTTGGATTGTGAGGAAATAGTAATGGCATTCCTAGTTTGTCTGACCGCTTTACCGGATGTTACCGGTTCATCCCTTACGGCAGAGGCCTTCGCAGCGGTATCGTGCGAACCCCCGAGTATAAGGTTTAGGGTTCAGGGTTAGGGAAGGGGGAAATGGATCCGTATAGAGTGCGGGTAATGTCCCGTATAGTAGGGTTTAGGGGTTCAGGGTTTAGGGTTTTAGGGCTTTGGGGTTTAGACACTAATTGAATGCTTCAGGGAACTCTCGATACCCTCATGCCTGGAATGCTCGAAGACCTCAACCAACACAGCGCCCAAAGCCGCAAGCACAGTTAAAGGAAACTACAGGTGGGGAGTTTAGGGTATATAGGGCATGTATAAGGCTTCTATAAGGTATATAGACCTTCTATAAGGCTCCTATAACGGTAGCCACCCACCTGAAAATGTCCTACACACAGGAATGAGTGATAGGATAGTCTAAGAACACGGAACCCTCGCCTCAACTTCCCTAGTCCCAACGCCTGAACCCTTGGAACCCTGAACGCTGTAATTCCAAAAAACCTCAAGCTCACCCCTCAACAAAACCCTAATCCCTAAAACCTAAACCCTAAACCCTTAAACCCCTAAACCAACCCCTAAACCCTAAACCCAAAACCCTGATATTCCGCTATGCTGTCCATCCCGGTCCTCGTGCCCTTCCATGGCAATCCCACTGCCTTGCTTGCTTCACATTCTTTAGCCGGCTGGATCTGTTGTATAGGAACGTAGGTACCCTAAGAAAGGGGTAGGGTATGACCCATAGGTAGGGCTTACATAGGGTTTAGGGCGCAGAATGCACGTTAAGTGTTCAGTGGTTGATGGTTTGAGGTTTCGGCATCAAAAAAAGAAAAGAAATAGACTCACCCATTCAGAAGCCAATAAGGGGTCTGATAGAATTAGCGACATTATTATCCTTCATGGTTAGGCAACAACTCTTAAGGGCCCGATCATAAAACCTCATAGCACCCCTACAAAACCCTACAGAAGCCTCGTGGAACCCTCAAAACGGCCTTACACGAATTCCTATGTAAACCCTGTAATATCGGGGTCGGAATATTTAGGAATAGTACCCCCCCCATTATAACAATACTATACTATCCCCCAGAACCCTATTCTAACTATGAAGGCCCCTATGCCTATCCCTGAAAGAGCCCTACGAACTCTAATTATTAAGGCCCCTACCCTTATCGGCCGGCAGTCGTGCTTGGGGTCGGTGTTGTTGAGGCGTTCGGTGCAGGCGTTTTGCTGTTTACCTAAACCCTAACCCTAAACCCTAAACCCTTTAGGGCTTGTGGTTGAAGGTTTAGGTAGGGGGTTGTAAGTCTTTGTTCTGGGGTGGGGTGGTAGTGATTGGCCTTAGCAGGAATGCTTTAATCAGGGTGTTTCTATGTACCACGATTCGAAGCCGGCATGAAGAGAGTGTTTAGGCCTTTTGTGCATATGTGTGCTAGACATCCTGCATTTTACGGGTCGCCATACTCTATAGTTTGTGAGGGGAGTTTTGCTGTTTCCTGCTGTTTTCAGAAACTCCACAGATCTATATAGAACTTTGAATACTTTTGTCTTGAAGTATCGCTTTCGAACACCCTCACAGGCCCAAGTATACACTATATTATCACTATATACATATATACCACCGCTTATGCCTGGAGCGATCTGCGATTCCTGCTCTTTTCGGAAGAGTTCGGCGCATTCTGACTCGTCATGAAGCGATTAGGGAGCACTACCCCCACGCGCAAAAGTGACTGCTGAGTGGGTGCTGCAGACACTGTGAAAGTTCGCCGTTTGCGGGTGAGTCCTTAAACGTGAAACTGCAAAACCTATACCCAGAACCTGCAACTCTGATTAGGAGGCTGAACAACTAGAAGTTTGCAAAGCATGTGAACTTAATTATAATTGAAAACTGTCATTTGTGAAGCCCTGCGTCCGAGATGGCTCAACTAGAATCTCTGCAAATCTCGCACGCTTTGGAATTAGGGTGCAGGTTTTGGGCTTAGTTGAGATATCCGAGAATGTTGCTGTACCGGACTAGAGGCTGAAGTTGAAGCATCTGTGCCTTGGAGAGCATGTAACCTTTAGGGTTTAGGGTTTAGGGTTTAACCATGTATGTGAAAGCATGGCCGCCAAACCCGAAACAATAAGTTCGAAACCCCAAAGCCTAAACTCCAAAGGCATGAACCCTGATTCCCTTTAACAACCTTCTTTCAGGAAAAACTGAACTCCGAAAACAGGAGAGATGAAACATGTAGGTTTCAGACTAGCTTGGATGAGCCGTCTGGGAACCCTAAACCCTAAACCCTAAGCCTTGAAAAGGACCTAGACAACAACCATAAGGTTGGGAATCCCCTCTCTAAGCAAGAAAGTAAGCAGAAAAAATGTAGGGATATGGTTGATGATATAAGTCTTGCGTTGCCTTAAGGGCCCTAAACTACGGGAATCATGGTCCATTCCCTATTATGGGTCATGCAGGATGTATAATGAAGGGGCCTTAATATTTAGAATGGGGTTTTGGTGAATAATATACTGTAATTTTTATGAGGACCCCCCCCCCCCCCTAAATGGTATAGGTAATTATTAAGGCCCTATATTATCATCAACAGTATCACCCCAACCTTCCCTAAACCCTAAACCCAAAACCCTAAACCCTGAATCCTGAACCCGAAACCCGGAACCCTAAACCCTAAACCCTGAATCCGACAGATGAACCCAAA